CCCCCATCCCCAGCCCCGCCGGCCCCTCACCGCGCGTAGGTGAGGCAGTGGTGGATGTTATGGGGGAAGGAGTGGAGGGTGCACATGGGGGCCTGCCGCTCGGGGGGGTCCCGGCTGGCGCCTGCGGCACGGGCAGGCGGTATGTGCGGCAGCGGTGAGCAGTGCATGCAGGCGGTACATGCAGTGCAGGCGAGGCGGTGCAGGCGTGGGTCCATGTCCCTGGCCAGGCCCGGGCCGCGGGGAGCGGCAGCTTCCCATCCAGGGGAAGCCGGTTTAAGTCACCATCCTACGCAGCCCGCCCGCCCCACCCCCACCCCCACCCCCACCCACACATCCCTCAAAAGCCCACCGTAGTTTTCCGTGAGCAGCGGCACCACGGCCTGGGTGTTGCACTTGGGGCCCAGCGTGCCGCTCTCCAGCAGCGGCTTGCCAAAGTAGACGCAGCGCGAGTCGACGTACAGCCTGCGGTACGGATGGGGCGGTACCACATGTAGCACATGCGGTACGTGAGTCAGCAGGGTGGGGCGGTGCATGCAGTACAGCCACGGTAGGGGAAGCGGCGCGCAGCCGGCACGCCGGCCCGCTGCTGTCCCTGGCCACAGCCGCGGCAGCAGCAGCAGCAGCAGCAGCAGCAGGCGCGCGGCGGGGCGGCCAGGCGACCGCTGCAGGCGCGCTGCCGGGCTGCCACAACAGCGCAGCGCTCGCCCGCAGCAGCCGGCAGGCCTCAACAACGCAGAGCCACACTGAACCGAAGAGGCCGGGGAGCTCGACGGGCGTTCAGTCACACCACACTACACCACGCTGCCAATTCCCGCTACAGCAGCAGACAAGCTTACCGGGCATTGACGTTGTCCAGCGCGTTCACCACAAGGTCGAGTCCCTCCCAGAAGCCGTCGTCAAACACGTCCTCTGCAGGGGGCGGTTTGGGGTGGGGCGGGAGTGGGGGGGAGGGAGGCGGGGGAGGGTGAACTGGGGACCGAGGGGATGTGGCTGTGGGCACGCAGGCGGGCACAAGAGCGCCCCCCTTGCCACCACCCCACCCACCCCAAGCGCCTCCCCTTCCCTCACCCACGCCCCTCCCAGGCAGCAGGCAGACGAGCACCACTCCCACCACCACCCCACCCACCCGTCTCGGGCAACACCCGGTTCTGCAGGGCGCAGCCCGCACCCGCGCCCATCCCAGGCAGCAGGCAGGAGGGGCCCTGCCTCCCCCTGCCTCACCCGCCCTCCTCTCAGGGTGAGGGAACCCACCTTTTCGGGCGACACCCG